AAGCTTTCCTTAAAGATCAGTGCCTTGTCAGTAGCAGCATTAACATATTATAGTAACGTTGTTAGCAAGGGAAAACAAACCACACCAGGAATGCCTAATCAGGGCCAATAAGGTCATTCTGTGAAACATTATCATATTGGTCTGATTAACTACTCTCACTGCACAGTTTTGATTTGGTTAAGATATCTGTATACCCGTCCTCCTTTACTGCATATGACCTTGTGTGGATCTGTGAGAATGTTTATTCTCATTCTTCATGCTTGTACTTCATCCTGGTTTTTATATATAAAGATATGAGATACGGGAATGAGTACAGATGAGCCTGATGGGCACGCTATGACTATGGAGGAATATAAAAAGAAGCCACAAAACCAGATCACTCAAAACCCAAGTAAATCACCTGGCTTAATGGAGGCACTTCAATTTAGGGTCTGCATTGTTTAAGTTGACATCTACTACACCAAATATTTTTAAAAATATGTGTAACTCCCACAAATTCAAACATTCATATCTTTAACTTTGACTATGTCTTTGTTTAATCCACATTTGAGTAAGAGTGTGTGAACTAAACCGAATAGAAAACTAGACATTTGTTTTCATTAGTCATGTGTTTAAAACAATATATTTATATCTATATATATTCATGACATTAGGCTCTACAAACAAAAAATACCTTGGGGTTGCAGAGTAGTGAACAGTAGGGTTTACCTTATCCAAAGCGGAAACTAAACTGTTACGTATTCACCTCAATCCAGATTTACCTGACTGGCCTGGAAAAATTTAACTCGAACGTCATTTGTGTTATCAGCCCACTTCTGTAAGTGGACCTGCTGTAATGGTACTAGAGATAACCTGTGTCTATTTAAGGGTGGTCTATTCAGATTCTGACCACCTTTTAATAAGATTAGCTCCTAGAGCTGCAGCTTGGCACAGGGCCATGGTCACTTGACGTCTTGGCCAGGTTTGCCCTCCTTCACCTTATTTCTCTTACTAATTTGTCATCTATACACAAAGATCATCTGAGCATTTAGTGTGATAGCGTATTGTGCTTCATCAAAAATGCAAACCAGTATAGATTCCAGCTTCAGTAGAATCACAGAAACTGCAGAAGGCAAACTCACTGACCTAATTTACTGAAACTGCCACAGATCTGGACACAGTCTCTTATGTATATAAAACAAAATGATGACTTGTAGAGTGTACTTGACAGCTTAATCAAGTAATCTGTTATCTTAACAGCCAGTTTAATTTGTTTTTGTAAAGAAATCAAAAAGAATGTGTGAAACTAATGAAATATTAAAGATGCAGACTCTACGCTCTAGCTCAGATGAAGAATATAGCTTGGATAATCTTCAAATAAAATGTTTAAATGAAAAACTTTCAATAGTCTTATTAAACACCCTATGGCACTTAAAATCATAGAAATAACTGACATGTCTTATACAGGCTGCCACACTTTCAATTGGAGTCAGTTGAGACTTTAACTTTATTACATTTTAGCTTTTAACTTAATGAAAGATAACTAACACATCAGTCTTACTGTAGATTGTAAGGTGATTAAATAATTATTGTTTTAAAGCACACTGTCTAAGAGACGTGTTTAATAGCGGCATCCTGAAACCTAGCCTTGACGCATTGGTACACATAGTGTCTAATCTTCTTCCCTGGCTAATAGGAGCCCTAAGGAAATAAACATTCACCTAAAGCTACCTAATAAGCCATGCTCTCATCCGTTGATGTCACACACGCTTTACACGTAGCAACACAGGCAAGCAATGAACTTCATTGCCTGTCAAATTCACACCCCATAAAACAAATGTTACTGGTATCTGATTAGCTATATCAATAACACACAACATATATTAGATTATGTAAGACAAGGAAAATGTTATGTCATGTCATGTTATTTTATCAATCCCAGTACTGTCCACTAAATTGACTCTTAAATACTGAGGATACTTAATTTATTGTGATTTGTGGCAAATAAACCCCATCTGGAGGGGTTTGCTAAAGGGGATAAGTTTCATCTTGTAATCTTGTGGCACGGTGTAAAACATATTACTGTGATGGACGGATGGAAATCATACATATAAACTGTAACAAATGTTACATACAAATGTTACTGTATCATATTGAAATGTGTGTCTACCCCAACCTGTCTAAATGAATCTTTCTTCCATTTCAACTGGCTACACCAGCTTAGCAGGTGGTAATTTAAAAAGACCAATCTTTTCTCCTCCTACTTGCTATGTATACCATATTTGCAGTTTTGGGTCCACACTGAAAGCTGTAAATTTCTGTCCAGGTATCAAATGTAATTAGATATTAGAAAAACTGGATGATATTAGTACAACATATTAACAATTACATAAGAATAATATAGTAAGATTAGGATCTTGTTTTAACAATATTAATGGGGTAATATCAGTATATTAACTTTATAATCTCACCAGGAAGCCATTGATGACTCACACTCAGTTACTACCAGCCAAGGTTGTGCAGTCACAACTGTCACAGCATTTTGCATGTACCTTTTATTTAACCTAAATGCCAAAAATAATAATTGTTACTTGTTAAGTGTGAGTTTTTGTGTAAAAAATGCTGAATCTGGGCTGGAAAATATTTTTCTCTAAATTCAAAACTTTGTAGTTACATGACATCTTAGAAACATAAAGGGGGGCTTTTGTGTAATAACCATAATTCATAGCTGGAAAATTTATACCTACCTGTTTCTTCCTTCTGTAACTGCTACCAGCATGGTCCACATTGCAGTAGCACCCTATGTCATTGGGTGTACTTGGACCACTTCAAATGTGGATGTTTAGAGTAAAAAGATTGCTGTATACCAATGCTGTGTCATTCCTTCACTGTTATATAAGTTGTGAGGCTATTTGTTTAGTTTATGTCTGTTGACATCTGTGGCTCTGACACAAACATAAAGTGGGAGCCTACTTTAAGTAATGCTAATCACACATGCTAATCCCTGCTTAATGGATATGTAGGTCATATTTTCTCTTTACTGCCACTTTCCACTCTATTCAACAATTCAGAATGAAGAAATCTTACATTAATTATGCTCAGTTTGTCCATAAAATGCAGCGCAGGGTTATTCGTGTTGTGCTCAGTGCTTCCAGGGGCAAACATTGAAACATATAAGCATTTTAATATGTTAGTTAAGACCCCTGGTATGTGTGCATAATTTGTCCAACACATGAAGCACACATTGATGAACAATTTTTAAGCCGTATATCTTGATAACAATCTCCACTTACTCACGTTTCTTCCACCACCTGCTTCTGGTACTCTCCAAACTCCTCCATGGACACACTTTTGGACTGGGTTTCCTTTCCTCCTTCTTCTACTGCTTTACTGACGTCTTCATCACCTCCTGCAGAAAACCTCTTTAACTTACTACCAAACATTTCATTCATGAGGAACGCCATGGCTCAGTTCAAATAGATGTTATTCATTCCTTCAAGCAAGGGGAAAGTGAAGCCGAGGGCTAGTAGAGAAGTTTAATGCTAAATCCATTCTTATTAACAACAACAAATTATTAACAAGAGCTGCTTGCTATTCAAACTTCCCAATATGAAACCTTGGCTATTGTGTGTCAAGATGATTAGACTGTATCAATAACTTGTGGCTGGAGTAAAACCGCTAAAGAGCTTAGCTTACAAATGAAAGCCTACAGACAATGGAGAGTCTTTACCTTGTCAACAAGATGCAGCAGAACAGACCCTCTGGGTGTATGCCACTGTTGTCTGCTCACTAGCCAGCACTAATGACCATTAATGTGGTAAAGCAAAAAGTACAAATAAATCCCATAAAGCAATAATAGCAGACAGATACAAATGTTGAAACATTCGTTACTACAAGATTATAACAAATTTCTTAACTAGAGTTAGTTACAGTTTGTGCAAGGAGATATAAATATTCAGTTATTCTAATATGCATAAACAGTGGTTCAAAATAGTCATACATTCTGACGTCATGTATAGAAATATAGTGAAAATAAACAATTCACCTTTTTGCTGAACCCCCTTCACTTTGAGAACCACTGTACTAAGACGCTGTTAGGTGAGTAATGAAACAACATAGGAAGCAAAACGAGACCCTGACAGCAAACGCAGACGTCATAGACATTTGATGATGTACGCCTCAGCATAATCCTTTACAGTCACACATGAATCACAGTTCACACTAAAGGATATTTTGTGGATTATTGGCATGTCTTGGTGGGAGAAGCTGTAAGATACTTACAAGGTTTCTATATCTTACCTCATATACTCTAACCTCTATACCTTACACAGAACTAATGAGGCTCTGGACATTAAGCCCGTAAGACCAAAGATCACAGATCAAGGTTTGTTTAAATTATTCTCTAGTTTTGTGGATTTATAATAACTTTTTTTATAATAACAATTCCAGAACAGATATCTTCAGACACAAACACACATCTTTTGCCAAATAAACTTTCTATCATGCTATTCCCTTTCCTCAAATATCCATCTGAAATCTATCAGAAGTAGCATGTTTAGCCATAGTTTTGTAAATCAATAAATGTATGCAACACACTGAGCAAATAGCAAAGACATGGGTTGTGCAGCACGAGTGGTTTGAGAGCTTAATATGAACTTTTTGATTGTTAGTTTGTTTCATCAACTAAGATGGTGAACATGCTATCAACATTAATTCCTGCTTTAAATCAGCATGTTATCATTGTCACTGTGAGTATGTTAGCATGCACAGCCTCTCAGTGCCAGTAGAATGGATGCAGAGCTGACGTGTCAATTTGATTTAATTATTTAATCTTAAAATAGCAGTCCTGGAAATCCATAGCAAAATAACCAAGAGCAAAAGACTATGCCTGAACAAGTAATGGTTTTGTTTGAGCATGTACAACATAAAGAAAGGTTGTAAGTTAAAGCTGTAGTCAAGTCATTGCGTTAGAAAACTTGTCAGTCTGCCAAGAGGAAACTACAACTACTATAACTGGACTTTCCTACCTATTACCCATGCTGTCTTTACTGTGGTGACTGGACTTGTGTGAAGACTGCTCAAGGAATAAGATTTTAAAGGTGATCTTTTTTCCATCAGTATCACTAGACTGAGGAGAATGTGAGCATTATTTTTAATTCACTTATAATGCTTGCTTGTTACTTGCATAGAGAGATTTTTATGTAATAGGTTCATTTTCATAATATTAAGCTGCTTTCATGTTGTGTATTCTAGCTTTTATGTCGTTTGACAGCCTTTGTAAACTCTAGCAAGATTAATATCTTAATAGTCTTTGTCATCCTGTTAACGTTATCTCTTTTTCTGCATTCTGTATTACTTGTAAGGACTAAATATGAAAGAGATGGTGCCAAACCCTAATGAGTTAGAGTTGGACTCAGTAGAGGTTACAGAACCCCAAGAAACCCAAACATGCTACAGATGTAATAAGCCCTCAGGTTGTGTGTCTTCATCCCAGATTGGATCGAATGTTATCACTTTTCTCAAGAGAAATGCTTTTGTTGTTGTCACAATGACTGCTGTTGCGTTAGGTAAGTACTTTGTTCTCACATAAAGCCTGAAGTTTTTCTTTTAATCTACCAAACCGTGTGAAGACAAATTGCAACCTGCTGCTTGCTTGCTTTGTGTTAATATGTTACTTCTCCTGCACTGCTCTTTGTATTGGCTCTTCTTTCTTTCGTAATTTGAACTCACCCTTTGATACTGTAGACACACTGACCCCCTAACTTTTTGTTTACGTTTCTCTGAGGTATTGGCTTGGGTTTTGCTCTGCGACACATTAATATGTCAGCCAGGGATAGACAATATTTAACCTTTCCTGGAGAGATGATGATGAGAATCCTGCAGATGTTGGTTCTTCCTCTCATCATTTCCAGTCTGATTACAGGTTAGACCTTCTTTTTCAGGTACTATTTTTTTATTATTATTTATCAATAAAAAAACTAAATGGTTTGGGTTTGACCCACATTACACATGGTAATAGCTTCCTGAAAAAATCACCAGAATAGACAAACACAATTCTGGTGTAAGTGTTGTTAAGCCTTAGGACTAATAAAGGTGGAGCATGGTCTGTGTGTAGAGTTGAGGCTCACAAACTTGAGTCTGAGATGTCCTACAATTGCCATTTATAAAGCATAAACTCTACTCTATTTACTTTGATTATTACAGCCACATCTTTTTGTTTCAGGAATGTCATCTGTGGAGAAGAGGGCTTATGGGAAAATTGGATTAAGGGCCTTCACTTATTACATGATCACTACATTTATTGCTGCGTTCACTGGCATTGCCCTTGCTCTTTTTATCCAACCAGGAAAATCATCCGGGACTGTCTCAGTGTCCTCTGGTGGTAATGCAGAGGCTGTGCAGACTGTGGATTCCTTTCTAGATCTAATCAGGTGTGGATCAAAATCTTCCTATGAAACTGAACAATGTGTAAATTACAGGCAACATTTAATGATATAGTCCACAGCGAAAACCCTAATTTGTGTTTTTGATTTATAGAAATATGATTCCCTCAAATCTAGTGGAAGCGTGTTTCAGAAAGGTGAGATGTGCAATGGCTTTGAATTGTTTTAATATTTATACTGTCACTGTTTCATACTTATCAATGATTAACATTTGCTTATACTTTTTATCTAGTATAAAACAATTTATTCCGGGAGTGTTTCTACAGGAAAGACTTGTGGTGTCAACAATGTGACTGAGACCAGCGAAAACAGTGAGATTCCTTTATTTTTGTCCCTGTAATTGTAACCAAATGTTTGGCGAACTCAGTGTCCCTTATGTTGCATTAAAATACCCTCTGTCTGATCTTCATTATTGTTGTTACATGGTCACTACACCACCTACTCTTAACGACATTCCTGGGACACCTGTAGATCACAGAGTACCAGTACCAAGCACCTCAAATGGAGTCAATATATTGGGTCTGTTGGTCTTCTCTGTTGCCTTTGGCCTCATCCTGGGCAGTATGGATACTGAGGGAAAACCTCTAAAGGATTTCTTTGACTGCCTGAATAAAGCCATTATGCATCTGGTCAACATGGTCATCTGGTATGCACAGGGGGATATCATGAAGATGAGCTGGCTGACTCCCTCAACACTGAGCCTCTCTCATTGCCTCTCTCATTCCTCTGCTGTGTCTCACCTCTATATCACAGGTATTGTCCAGTGGGAATCCTCTTCCTGCTGGCAGGACAGATTGTGAAGATGACAGACACTGGAAAGATAGGTCGTGAAGTTGCCATGTATACTCTCACTGTGATCACTGGCCTGCTAATCCACAGTTTCTTCACTCTGCCCCTCATCTATTTAATGGTCACACGTAAGAATCCCTTTAGGTTTATGGGCAGTCTACTCCAGGCTCTCACCACCGCCTTTGGGACTTCATCCAGGTGAGCCAGAGTCTTGATATTGAACATATCACATTGCATACGCATGAACAATCATGCAATTTCAGCTTCCTACACATGCTATATGGGATTTTTCACAGCTCTGCAACCCTACCTGTTACCTTAAACTGTATGGAGGAAAATCACAACATGGACAAACAAGTGACCCGCTTCATGCTCCCTGTTGGGGCCACAATGAACATGGATGGTGCAGCGCTCTATGAAGCTGTGGCTGCTTTATTCATTGCCCAGGTTAATAATATGGAGTTTAACCTGGGTCAAGTCATTGTCCTCAGGTATGCTCAAAACACATATGAAATACTGTATGTTCCCATCAGTTCTGTAAGTTGTAGAAATTCATGTCTTGAGAAGCACGGACTGGTATAATATTTTTATTATTAGCTCATTTCCATGAGTTACTGAAGACTTAGCAGATGAAGAGATAAAAAAGTATATCCTTTACACTGCACTAGTTCCCATAGAGTTGAGTGGGTTTCTTCTCAATGCATAAACAAAAATGCAAACTGTCACACCACATAACCAATACTATTTCTCCTGTTTAGTTTGATTGTCACAGCTGCGAGTACTGGTGCGGCCGGCATCCCACAGGCTGGCATGGTTTCTATGGTGATTGTGTTGTCATCAGCTGGGCTGCCCACTGAAGACATCTCACTGCTCATGATTGTTGATTGGATTCTGTAAGTGCGGGTGCAACCAATATCAGTTCAGACATATCAGACATTTTCATAATTTGATCATTGAATCATTTCTTCAAAGTGCAGTTTGAGGGTTTACAGTCAGTGTTAGGGGTAGGATTGGGTATAGACATGAACTTCGACGTTAGAGTTAGAGGTTAGTAAATACCTTACATCAGTGAGCATCTTTACAAGTGGAAAAAACAACAGTATTGAAGTGTAGAAGCTGCATATTTGATCTAATCCAGTGAATAATGTTATTGATTTCACCAGTAACATGGTTAACCTTTGCCCTAAAAGTATCCTGTAATTCACATTTTGAAATCACCCTACACTTGTGTGTAATTGTGATGTAAGTCATGCTCAGATTCCTACTCTAACCTCAGATCTTCTTGTATGTTTGCTGATAGGGATCGTCTAAGGACTGCCACCAATGTGCTGGGTGACTGTATCGGTGTGGGTGTAGTGCAGCATCTGTCCAGACATGAACTACAGAGTGTTCAGTTCCGAGCTTCATGAGGCTTGATAGCATCCCTTTCTAGTGGCCAAAACTCATGTGATATGTTATTGTTGAACTACACCAAAATTGTTAATTAATGAGATTAATTTTACTAGCCAGTATACAGTTTTAGCAGTTGTAGTTCATACTTATTTAGCTTACAATATAGACAGTTGACTTGCAATTGTTTTTGGAACAGAGGTTAGGAGTGGGGATTAACTGCCCCCGCTCCTGCTGGTGGAGTGATACATTTTGGAGACATAACCTTCAGTACTTGAGGAGCAGGAGGAGTTAACAGCACACTTTCTGCAGTGTTGCAGTTTAATCTCGAATTGTTATAGGCTGACAGTGTTTGTAAATAGAATAAACATAATATTAATTAAAATAACCAATGTTTTGCATGTATACTGTAACCAATGTTTTCTTGGGTTTGTTGTTTTTTGTTGATTTTCTTCCCATAATGCTTACGTGTCATAATCAAACCTTTGGGTGCCATTATTCCCCCTGTGACAAAATTCTTATAATTCATGTTTACTCTCTGGAGGTACCATACAGTATGCTTCATAGATTGTGGTAAATGAGATGTGTGGCAGGCTTGTTTTTTTATAGAGAGAGAATTTGTCCTTGTGGCGTTGCAGATGGTCTTTCATAGGGAAGACACTTCCACCATCTGGTGGCGGGAAGTTAAAAAAAAAATACACATGGGCTATGCATATAAATACATATAGAACTCTTTAATATTTTATGATACTGCATATTATGAGTGAAACACAAGACAATGCGGACCTTGAACTGAAACACGATCGTGTTTTGTGTTTACTCTGCAAATAAGTCACAGGAGTGTACAGTTAAATCAAAACTAGAACCGTAATTAAATCATCATTGAAAAATTATTTCACCTCACTGACTATAAAAAAACACACTTAAGATCTTTAAATAGCCAAGTACTCAAAACAAGATAAGCCACAATTTAAAGCTAGGCATGCCTGTCTTCCAAATAAGATAGATAAACTATGACAATTTATTAACTTATTTACAGTTAGTCATTAAAACTATGTTCTTAAACACCTAAAGCTATCTACTGTAAATTTACCATGTCTCAACTGCACCAGATCTGTGGGAAAACAAATGGGTTTTAGTAACAAGTCTGGGCATGTTGCAGTATTTCAGCACTGTGCAAAGTAGCGTTATTAATAGAAAACTGTTAACACACCCCAAATACATTTTTCTGCCAAAGAGACAATGGCAGGAGAAGAATAGGAAACTGCTTGCTCCCACTGGGCAATGAGTGCAATGCCAGAGAGATGCCACTGACATTGCCCAGAGCTCAGTGCAGCTGTGAGGAGAGCGGGAGAGAAAGGACGGTGAAGGAGGGGGTGTGAGCGTCACAGCTAGCGAGCAAGAAAAAAGGAGGGGAATTCATGTGGAGGAGGGGTTTTGTTAGGAGTGAGAGAGCTTAAAAGAGATGGGGTGAAAAAGCAAGAGAGAGAGAGAGAGACTGTGTGTGTGCATGTGTGAGGGAGGAAGATGCTGTTGCCAGGGAACAGCAGTGAAGTAGAAATGCCCATTTTTTCCAGCTCACAGGAGGATGAAAACACGTTAAATCATGGATGCAAAATGGACTGAAAGTGAGGAGAAGGAAAACATCTGATCCTGACGTAGCTGAAAAGAATCAAAGAGAAGGTAGGCAGGTGTCATTACATAACCACCATAACGCAGCTCCCATACGGGTGACATCATCACAGCAGGATTAGAGCCTGGGGTGGGAGCATTAGTGTTGATGGGGAGGAGGGGGACAGAGGGAGATTCAGCAGAGAGAGCAGAAGTAAAAAGAGGAAGAGAGATAGAGACTGATCATCATGAGACCAGCTACAAGCGCAGAGTGAGGATTATCTTTTGTCCAAACAGGGATCTGACTGGCTGAGGAGACAGAAAAGATGAGAGCACGATGGCGTTTGCTGTGTGATGACCCCGACTTTCCTTGCCATTCTCCTCTCCACAGGAGGACAGGATTTCTCTCTCAGCCCCCATTCGCAGTATCAGTAAACCGCAAGAATCATCCAGCAGCCCGGGTCCTGAACACACAAGTGTCCCACCTGAACACACAAGTGTCCCACCTGCAGATGTAAACAGTGATGACCCTCACTCTGTTCAGGTAGATTTAAGGAGAAGGAAAAGAAAGAGGAGCATCTGAAGGCAAAACAGGGAGGACTTCAAAACGGCAGAGAGGAAGTCGTCCTATTTGTAGTATGTGAGTACAATGCATTTCCATGAGCCATGATCTCTCTGGTTTTAGCTGGAGAAAGTGCCTTTCTTCAGGGCAGATTATGAATCAGTGACATGCTATTTAATGCTTTGTTTCATTCTGCTACTGTGACTCAGATTACTGAGACAGTGTCTGCAACATTTGAATCAGAGTCTGATGACAGGTGGTGGGTTGTTTGATCACTGTCATTCAAATTTGATCCATTCAGTCCTGATAAAGCTGATGAGAGAGTTTCAAGTGTGAGTTTTATTAAACGATATCTGGAATTTATTAATATGGGTTGTTGCTTGTTTTGTCATAAATATGGATAGTGTAATACTTCTTCTTCTGACTTGCTTTTTATGCTTTTATGCTGTTATAATTATCACTGTCCTCTTGTCTTTAAATTGCAGTCAAACAAGTTGAGGAAGGCTGTACTCGATCATGTTGCCCTGCCTCAACTTGCCTTTTATAATCAGTGGCTCTATTGATGCTAATCTCCTAACTGCAAGCCATGTAAATGATTTCATAATGCAGAGGCGGAAAGAATACTGTTGTGTTCTACTCAGGTGGAAGCTCTTCTGCTTCACTTACATTTTCCATACTGTCTGTCAAAGAAAGAGGCAAGAAATATATTTAGTAAACAAATAGCTAAAAGGTACAGCTTCTGTGTCGGGAGCATTTTCAGCTATTTGCTTTCAATCTCTGAGTCACTTTATCAGGTGTTTGGTTTGATAGGCACACAGATAGTGTTCGGGAAATGAAGGCTGCTCTGCCATCTGGACTCAAATCCCTACAAAACACGTGCTACTGCAACATTTCTTTGTGTCCATCAATCAACAGTTCACTGTATGAGCAGCTGAGCCTTGGCAAGAGACATCTGCACAAACAAGTTTCCGAAAGCTTTTTTTAAAGATTAGAGTGTGAGAACAAAGGAAGGTGACTCAAAGTGTGATTTAGCCAGAAGAATCTTTATTAAGGTTGTGTTAAAGGAGTTCCCCATCAAGCCCACATCAAACACTGCAACTCCTCCATCGTTTAGAATCCAATCACATCACAGCAGTATGTAGCCTGGAGGCCTGAGCCTTTTTAGCCCACATTTTCGGGGGTGGGAGTTCAGTACAGGCTCTGATGTGTCACTCTAGAGCACATCAGTGCCATGCCAGTGGACAAATGGACTGTGGTAACTTCTGCTGCATCATGAACTGGTTAGGACAGTGATGTAGGAAGGACCCTCTTCCCCCATATGCACATTTCTGACACGAGATTCTGACTGATCCTTGTATGAAAACTGACAAAAACACGAGGCACAGTGAAGCTTTACAAGAAAATATGGAAGTTCAGATCTCTATCTGCTTAATGGTGGCACGTATGATTTGTTTGTATCGCCCTGAGGGGCTGTATGAGCAACGTGGTGTTTTATTTTTGTCCCCTTCCCAAGGGAAAGGAAACCCACTGGGACTTAGTTTTGCCATTTGATTCATTTATGTCATCATTATAAAATTGTTACCCATAGCTAAACAGCACTAGGTTTTTTTGAGACTTTATTTTGTCTGGTGTAAACTAACCATTTGCTATGTGTCATGTTAGTGAAAAAAGGATAAAAGTTGAAGATTTGGCAAATGTTGATTGGTTTCTTTATTACACCCATGTCACGCTTTGCAGCTGATCTCCAGACCGCTCAGTCACAGCTCCTAAAAGCTATGTGTTGTGGATACGTAGGCTTTTACTTGGCCTTTTAAGGGGCACCCCAGCAATTTAGTATATCGCCTCCATAAGGTTGTTGGACAGAGAGACAGATAGATTTTAAAAAGAAAAGTCCAAATTGAAGCAAAAGAGGCTGCAATATCCTCATTTTCTACCACTAGTATAGTTCAAGCTCCATAAACATTAAGTCCTACATTTCCCATAATGCAACTGGATAGTGTCTTTAAATAACCCCCACCCCCTGCCTGGTAAACACCCACATCTGTCAAACCCCAACACCTTCCGTTTGTAACGTCGTCTTTCTGTCATAAGTTTGAAGTCTCAAAGTAAAAATTCAGATAATCCTGATGAAATCATCAGTGTTGCGTAAAATGGGGTGGAGTGCCCCATTAAGACAAGTACTGCATGTTTTAACAAGGTTTTTAACTCTTGGTTTCCTTCTGACATTGACATTCAGGCATTGTTTTATGTGTTTGTCAACCACAGTGAGCTGAAGCCCGTCCTCCCTGGCAGAGGATGGGTACAGCAGAAGCCACTTTACGCATGGACAGCATGGAGGTTAAGGACGAGTGGCAGGATGAGGACTTCCCCAGGTAATCCTACGTGTGTATGTGAGAGAGAGAAAGACAGCGTGTGTGTGTGTGTGTGTGTGTGTGTGTGTGTGTGTGTGTGTGTGTAGTTTGTCTTTTATGTGTACAGGCTTTGACAAACAGGCCCAGCTATGATGGCAAGATAGTCACGTGTGTTGAATGCTGAAAGGCAGCAGGTGTGTTCTTTCCTTGATGTAGTTGTTATGTGTAAAGTGACAATGTTGTGTCATGTCAGTGAACAAAATAGCAGCTTGCAAAGAGAAAAAAAAATGGAAAAATAGTCGGACAACCCACACTCTTTTACTGCCAAGTCGTGGAAATGTGTTCAAGGATATCCAGTGTATTCACAACCTGCCATATTTATATACTGTATATTATATAGTATTCTCCATGTTTGATATATATCTGCTGTAAGTCATGTTGTTTTTATGAGATATAATAATATAACAATGCTATGCTGGTAGCTCAGTTGACTAAAGCTTATACAATACAAATAATGAAATTAGATAAGGGAAGAGTAATGGGATTCAGCAGATATTCATATTTCACCTTGATCTCAACCACGTGTATGCACAGATCTTATTTCTGTATGTAGAACAATAACTATATGGTTGTTGCAGACAGTTTAAATCTGAGTCCTATAAAGGAACGTTTTGAATGCTTCTACACTTCAAATCGTTTTCTCTTCTCCCAACTATTTAATCCACTCTTGAGTATCTGTTGGTGCTGTCTTTAACGCACCTCTACAAAGCTGCTGACAACAAAATAGCAGCAATTATTCCAGCAGCTCCATCAGCTAGCCCATACTTGTGGTGTTTTAGGGTGTGTTTCTCTATGCATTCATGTCTGTGTTAATGTCTTTGTCTTCTGCTGTCTGTGTACAGTATTTGTGTCTGGCTGCATGCGTGTGTGTGTGTGTGTGTGTGTGTGTGTGTGTGTGCTTTCGACTATAATCTAACCTTCTTGTCCCCCACCACTGAGGGTTTAGCTGTCTTATTATAATGTCAGAGGGGAGTTGGTAATTACTGGTATTGCTTTTTCAAACAACACATATTGTTTCCATGGACACACTGTAGTTAAATCACAATAGAGACTCTCCAAAAACAAAAGGCTAAGAGCATGAATGCTACAAACAATTGTTCATACTTTGTAGTTTATTTCATTTTTTTATCATAGCAATTTATTTAAAAGGTTAATGCTTATAACTAGCAATTGAAAAAAACAAAAAAAACAATCATTAACTTGGTAGCAGGAAAACAATAGGACAAAGAGAAACTGTAATTCCAGTGTCACTTCATTTTTGATTTATACTGGGTATTTTCATTTTATTTATGCCGTTTATTCAGGCCACTACCAGAGGATGGAGATGTTGATTCATCATGTGGCCTCACTGACAACAGAACCAGTAAGTGGGATAGATACACAGCATTAAATATTTATATAAATTTTTATTATATTCTAAACTTTCCTGTATCTAAACTTTCCTGACTCGCTTATCCAGATCCTCCCACCACTCTGAATGTGGGCCAGTCCATGGTCCAGCGTAAGCGTCGCACTCTGGTCGCCCCTGACATGAACCTCTCCCTGGATCAGAGCGAGCTCTCTGATGACTTCCTTGAAACGCCCGATGACCTGGACATCAACGTAGATGACATCGAGACTCCTGATGAGACAGACTCGCTGGAATTCATCAACAATGGCAACGAGCTGGAGTGGGAAGGTCAGACAAAAGACACATGATTTGACAGATTTAGAAACATTTAGATTGAGAAAGGTACGAATTTTTTAAGGGAAATATAAAAATCCTTTTTTTTTGTCTTCTGTGTTTTACACTAATAATACTAAAAACTGTCATAGAGTATCTCTCAGAGCCAACAAAAAGCAAGAATTTTAACCATCACAAAAGCAGTACTATTTGCTGGGCTATTGTGCATTGGATTAAAAATGGCGTTCCTTTTATTTGGTGATGACAAGAAAGTCTTTTTGAGTCTGAGAATAATATTGTGGAAGCTGTGTATAACATTTAATGTTTGAAAAGGTTAAATGAGTTAGAGCAAAAATGTATTTGTAAAAAGCTGTGACTCATGTTGAAGCTTTCTAGCAGACGTTTGTTGACAAAATGTTAATGCGTGTGAGGAAAGAAGGTCAAACAATCTGGCCAACAACTTTTTTTGTGTCACCTTGTGTCTAGATGACACTCCTGTCGCCACTGCCAAGCGTCTTCCAGGTGAAGGTGAAGAGGAGAGAGACTCATCTGGTCGTCTGTGGCGAACAGTGATCATCGGTGACCAGGAGCAGCGGATTGACATGCAGGTCATCAGACCGTACCTGAGAGTGGTCACACATGGAGGTTAGGAAAAGAGTGTGGGTGCGTGTGTACTTTTGTTTAAATACCGGGGTGTCTATATGTGTGGGCTCGTGTGTGCGTTAGGGTTTTTCCAAAATGGGGTTTATCAGACCAGCAGCACAGTTTTCAAAGTTGGTAATTGTTTTTTTTTTATTATTCAAATATTATGAACTTAGGTGGAAGAAAAAGACATTGCACTCAACCAAAAAGAGCTGGGCTGCCAGTCCCACAAAAATATGGTATGTTGATAGGAGTTGTATAGGGACATATTCTCAGTTGCCAGTTTATTAGGTACACCTAGCTAAAACAAGTTCAGTCTAACACAACAGTCCTGCAATAAATCCTCCCCTCATGAAGTTTATAATGTTCCGATTTTGTTCTTTCAGACTGTCATTTTAGAGGATGCAGTTTGTGGTGTTGAATTGTATTGCGCTATACTGACAGGTGTTTCTATTATTTTGTCTACCCTATCTATGTACATAGTTTGTGAATGTGTGTGTACTCTTCTTTACTTTTTGCACTTCAGGGATTTAATATTGGGAAGTGGTGCTATGAGAGTTTCAGTAGCAAACTCTGTAGACTTTTATCTTATGAGAATTTCACTTGATGCACCTGAACTGAGTGAAAGTTATTGCTCATAGGTTAAAAAACCTAAATCCTCAAGCTACGTGACTATTCCACCCTGAAGAAAGCATACGACTGAAGCTATAAAAGAGCATTCGAATAGAGTTTGGCATGAAAGCTCTTTTTGTGCTTGCCAAATATCTTAACTTTTAAATCTTTTGTACCACAGGTTAATATTTTCACCAGGATAGTTACATGGTGGAAAACGGTGGAAAATGCTGAAACAGCATTCAGGTCATTAAGAGACATTAGTCACCTCATAAGTTAACAAAAATGAGTGTACTCATAGTTGTCAGACGTGCATGTAACAAATTGCCACTGTCATACTGAATGTGTCTCTCTCCTCGGTCAGGTTATTATGGTGAGGGTCTGAATGCCATCATCGTGTTTGCAGCCTGCTACCTTCCTGACAGCGGCTGCGAGGACTACACATACATCATGGAGAATCTCTTCCTGTAAGATCCAGTCGGGTCACTTAAGGGACTGTTTTACAGTAGCCCACTGTATTATAAGATTTTGCATAACATTATTCTCTCACGTTCACTGTATAATTGATCACAGGACATGACTGGAGAATATCTTTCTATGCAAAATGTATGTTAAATTTGAAACGATGATTAACATAATATGCTAGAAAAGAAAGATGAATACGTTTAAAAACACTCATTTGGGCTTCCAGAATTTTACTTTGAGAAGCACATATCTGGGTCGGATCCACTTCTAAACACATTCTTTCAAGTGAAGTGTTTTCATCTTACATGTTACTGTACAGTCTGAGTCTGATCTGAGTTTGGTTGTTCTGTCCTCAGGTATGTTGTGAGCAGCCTCGAGCTGCTGGTGGCAGAAGATTACATGATTGTTTACCTAAACGGAGCAACGCCGCGCAGGAAGATGCCTGGCATCAGCTGGCTGAAGAGATGCTACCAGATGATTGACAGGAAGTAAGACAGACAAAATATTAGAAGAGTTTGGGCAGATGTGATATGAACGAGAATATAGTCAAGAATGTTAAACTAATGTTGTTGATTGTTAAATACAGATACAATTTAAATGTATCATGATTAAAAGGATTATGAGAAGGAGGAAAGCAACACAAACTCTTTAAATCTGAATGTCTCCTGCAGACTGAGGAAGAATCTAAAGTGTCTCATTATCGCTCACCCAACATGGTTCATCAGGACCGTCCTGGCTATCTCCAGACCTTTCATCAGGTGAGAATTCATTCAGTGTGGTTTATACTCCATCAGTCTATCCTCATCATCTGAGAACCTCTCCTCTCAACTATAATAAACAGAAAAAAGATACATTACAGAGTTGTAACATAATGATGCAGTAGATCATTCAGACCATCACAAAACAAAAAAGGATAGCTGTTACACAATCATAGAGTGAGAGCCGTTCTACGTTGATGACACCACTACAGATATTTCTTCAGTTTTCAGACTGCATGTTGCTGTTGTTTACTGCAGTGTGAAGTTCATGGATAAGATCCGATACGTTCACACCCTGGAGGAACTCAGCCAGATCATCCCCATGGAGCATGTGCAGATCCCAGAGTGTGTGTTGCAGTAAGTACTCTCAGCCACCAAGGGTCTCTGTTGAGACACTGCACATATCTATCACATCTTATGTAAGGTTTTGCATGCTTACAGTAATAAGACCTTAAAAGAATGCTCACAGCAGAGTGTTCAAACTAAACTTGAGTGCTCATGCCTCCTGGACAAATTAGTATTTGCATCACTGTTTATGGATTGCCATCACTTCAAATGAATAAGCCTTTTCTTCCATTGCCCAGTCAAAAGAGTATATTATCTCTCATGGAGAACACACAAAAGGTTATAAATGTTTAGAGGAAATGCTAGGTAGCTAGGTAAGACATGATGTTATTTCAAATATGTGTTTACGTTTGGAGCCATATCAAAGTTTGGGTTGCAAAGAAAATGAAATTTGGCCTAATTACTTAAATTATTATTAACCTATTTATTTTCTTTTGAGTTTTATGATTAGGCTACTTTTGCAATGTGAAATAAAAATTTAGAAAATGTAGCGGCACATACATATTTAACTGAGGGAAATGTCCGCGGCCCCCTGAACAATCTAGTTGAAAAGCCCTGCAGTAGATGATCAAGATAGTATGTCGGCAGTCACTAAAAAATGGACTACTCTAAATCAGCAGTCACTGTGTCTTTTGTGGCAAACATCTGGTAGCTGAAACATAATAGTAAAACAAACCATGGCAGCCAAGTCCTATACAACATACAGAAGACCAGGATTTCTAAAAAGTAGAGACTCATCTTGTTATTCATATTTATTTTTAAGCAGACTTTTGGTGGCTGAACTTTGGAATTTAGTTGTTTTAGCTGGGTGAGTCTCATAATCAAAGGCTTTAGGAAGCTCATTTACTACATATGATTTGCAACAGCATACTGCATTGGACATTTGACTGTTGTACCATTGATGACAATGTTGATGTGATGACATGTCAGTCCAAGATTTCTATTCTGATTTTTTAAAGGTATGATGACGAGAAAGTAAGAGCACAAAGGGAAAGGTGAGCAATAGATTTTCATGTGATTTTATGGTAAAAATAGTTTTAATGCATGCTCTTTTTCTTGCATGTAAGTAGTATTATTAATATGTACCTCTCTCACTTACAGACTTGAGCAAGAGCAGCAGCAGACCAACTCAACAATGCCTAAAGAAAGGTAACCTAATTTTGCAGTTCATACAGTCCAGGGCCATTTTCTAAATAAATAAAATGCGTTTCTTCTACAGCACTACAACAAACATTTTCTTCTCTTATTTGAAACTAGTGGCTGCTAGAAGTCTGAAACAATTTCACTTACATACACTGCAACCTTAATTGTTCAGTTATTTCATTTAGTCTGTTAAGATGCTGAAATAAGGCAGTTTCCTCACTTAGTATGAAGAAAATGCCATGGAAAAAGCTGACTAGCAAATCTGTGAATTACTTCTCTTGAAAGTAAACGTGAGTTATTTCTGCAGCTACATGGATGTATTTTGGCAACAGAAAGTTCAGCCTAATATGAACCTAATATGAACAAAATATTAATATTTACTTATGGTTTAACTTTAATCTGTCATTTCCAGGCCAAAGTCAATGATAGCAGATGTTAGCCGTGACATCTGACATTAAGGTAAGGGTTCTCATTGACTGAAGTGACTTTCCATCCACTTCATCAAGGCTGGTTTGTAATGTCAGTCCACTGTAATTAATCTGTGACATACAGGGAAATGTTCTCTTCTGTGCGCTTATGTGCCCAAAAGAAACCCTATACGGTAAATCAGCCAAATGTTGGACGATGTTCTGTCTGGGGTGTTGGGTCACTGACCAGAGGTCCAGCGGGTCAGCTCTCAGTTCAGGGGCCCTGAGATCCAATTTACAGTTTCATGTCAAGTCAAGGAAGAGCACAAGCAGTAAGAATGAGATGACTCAGATCTCAGTTACTTAAAACTTAAACAGCTCATTTAATGTTTAATTCAACAAATAGAGCTGCAACCATTAGTCAATTTTCTTTGTCTTATATTACAATAAATTACATTTTGTTGATTTGAAAAAACAAGGCTTTTAATTACGTCACCTTGAGCTCTCTGGTATTATAAAGGTATTTTTCACTGTTTTCTTATGTTTTATAGATCAAAAAACGTATTGATTAATCAAGAAAGTAACCAGGAGATTAATCAATATAAATAATCATATTCACAAATTAATCAAATGTGTAGTTTTGGAAATCAAATTCAAATTACATTTTATTCATGGATTGTTAGGGAGATACTAAAGCATCAGCCTGTTTCTTCATTTATAATCACTTTCATATTCTGATGAAGATGAAAATCACATTTAAATGTTTTTGTGCACATAAAAGTAAATAAAAAGTAATAAAAGTAAAGAACCATTACATATTTCAGAGACCTGTCCTTCTCTAAGAGCTCTGTGCCAAAGTCTTAAGCACAAAACACAGTGCTGTGTGATTACTGTCAAACCAGTCAAGTCCAGCTCATTTTCTCTTTTGCTAAGTCATGTTTCACTTCTTTAAATTGAGACTGCGTGTGTGTTAGTGTTAACTGATCCTCAAACATCATATTCCCTCCATACCCCTTGTTACGTAAAGGACAGCTGCTCATGTCTTTAAGCCTGCCTGCACACAACCGATCGATTCTATTTTTGATGGAATGTACAGCCAAGGTCTGGCAAATTGATCTGCGTCGCACAGCCTGTCCTGAAATCGAGGGAAAAACCCACCGCAGCAAGCCGGGGTGTGTTAGAGTGGGCGAGGTAGGTTATTTTAGAACCCCCCTCCTTCTATGCTGTCCTGTGCTGCTGACCATTCCTATGAGCCTCCATATATCAAAGAAGCTATCGCCCGGAGGATTGGCTGACATCCCGGGAATGGACGCAGGCACCATATCCTAACCAAATGCCAAGCAGGGGGAAAATAAATAGACAAACCTGATATGTGTCAAGTTGGGTTTAGTTTAGTATTTGCACATGCCTACTTACAAATATACAGATTATACTAGAAAGGTATTTGTGGAGATGCACAAGTGTTGATTGATATCTGTCAGACTCTCAGAATAAAGGTAACAGAGAAAGAAAGAGTTCAACTGTCTGTATTTGCATTACAGGGCTTTACATTGAAGAACCAACAGGGGAGAATTCATTCATTAAAATGGGAGCCAGGATAGACCACCATCACACACTTTTTGCACAGGATTAAACCTCCTGACTGGATCCACTCGCTGCAAGACAATCTTTACTCAGAAACATTATCTTCAGTGACATGCTTGCTTCTAACTAAAAGTTAATATTACACCAAAGCATTACAAGATATAGCTAAATAAAAAAGTGTCTGCTCGTGCATGAGCTTTATCTACAGCATGACTCCAACTATTTAAATAAAAAACTGAGGACGTTTTAGGATGAACCCTGAAGCATTGTCCGACAGAGCCGGGAATATTATTCAACGTATTCATGCTTGTGTATATATTTTTGAGAAAGGTGTTTACACAGATATTTGGTTTTTGATATGAATGGCATGGGTATTGTTTGGTTTCGATGGCTGTTTCCTGAAAAATAATGTGCAATGTTCTTCTTAGACCTACAGTACATGTTACTGATGCAAAACGTGTGTTACAGTATTCAAGTTTTCCAGAGTTTGATATGCAGGTGGCATGCTTGTTTATATCCTTCTGTCTCTGTGACACTTGTTATTGTCCGTTTTTTAAGTCATTTGCCATCATGTTTCAAAAGGTCCTTTTACAAGACGGAAAGCATATGTTATAAATGAAATGAAATATATTTAAAGAGAGACAAATTAATTGCTAAAAGTGTTATTTATGATATTGTGCCATTTAATGTTTGTAAAAAATAAAAAAATAAAAAAATAAATGAGTGAACTAAAACAAGCTTTGTTCATGACATGATTAGTCACCTCTTGCATGGACAGACTTGCTCATGAACATTTACCGCTCATATTTAAACTTTTTTATGGTCTCTAAATGTGTTCCACTTTGGTCCAGAATGTTTTTGACAAACAGTTCCTAAGGAATTATTAAGGGGCATAGTTATGATTTATGAGTGTGTTGGACAAGTCAGTTGATCTTTGTGTCACCTGACCTCTTTGAGTCCCGTGCGGTTCTTCATAGAGGGTCATTTGGACATAACACTCCAAAGTGACCTTTCTTTATTTTTATATGCAACTGTGATCACAAGATGTTAATACACTACATGACCCTCAATAAATTGTACAGCAGGGTAGTGACGGAGCAGTGGACAAGACACATGCCTTTGGTGTGAGAGACCAGGGTTTGAATCCACTTCAGAGGCATGCGATCTCTGACATATATAGCAATTGTAAGTCACTTTGGATAAAAGCGTCAGCTAAATGTATGTTATGTAATGTACTTGCTCCTGCATGTCCCAGATTTCTACCCTACACTTTTATAGTCTAGTATGCAAATTCAGTCTTTTAAAGAATTAGTGATTACTTTTTATGTCTCTTGGCCTATTTTAATATAAAATTAATTGAAAGAAAGGCCTGTTTGCTAAACATGAGGTTTTAACAGATTAAAACAAAAAAAAAAATACTGATTAAAAAATAATTATTTGAATTTAAAGGAGTAGTCTGATATTTTGGTAAATAGGCACATTTGCTTTTTTCCTGAGAGTTTGATGAGAAGCTTCATTCCACTCTGCTTCCAACCTTTATACTAAGACTGGAGAGTGGTATCAATCTTCTCTTCTAAGACTTCCCAAACTATTCCTTTAAGATTGGAAATGTAAGTAATTTGACTCTCTCTGTGGATTAACCCTTAGTATAATTTTAAAACACTTGAATAGGTTAGGACAGTCAATTTCGGACTTTGACAGAAAAATAATACAATTATTCACCAAACTGCTGGTCAAGTAAAAGTTTGTCTGTCTTCTGAGTCGAAGAAGGAAAATGTATGTGCACCACATGCTTCACACAGTTGACCACATTTAGTGCTGTACAAGATGTCTCGGCCTATGTGGGACAGTTTTACAATCCTAAACTCTTAACCAGGATGCAACAGTTTCTATTCACTCACATCAGACAACTACAACACATCAAAGCTGTCAATCACATTTGATCTAAGGTAAAAGACATATTATTATCGCACGTTGTCAACAGGCATTACTTGGAACATGAAGCCCTGAACATGAAACCGTGTGCTCTGATAACAGGGACTCAGAGTTAACCTTTTTCACACTTACAGTTACAGAAAAAGTGCAGCTGTAAATGAGTTTATTGCGCAATCAAAATGAACACAAGGCTAGACTGCACCCATCCGGAGGTGTGTAACAAAGTGAGTTGCTAAGCATGAGGGGCGCTTAAGTTCAAAGAAATAGACCTGCATTATCAGACCTATAGCCCTGACTCGAGACACTGTGGTCACATGGCTGGCAGCTATGTACTCCAGCTGGTTGCATCAGAAATATGTGTGACGCAGCAGGCAGATACACAACAGCTGACTAAATATAGAGCCTGTAGCTTTCACCCACCTGGAGCTGTCTAAGCATGGAAATTTTTCCCTCTATAACCCCAAATCACGAGGTTTTTCTCTGAGCTATGATACAGATGTTTCAGTAACAGGATGTGACTTTTATTGTATTACATGTATTACTGTAAATTTGAATGATTGTACAGTTTGCAGCCCTTGCCTTCTCTCCATACAGTGCCTTTTCTAAGACCAATTATGAATGGCATCTGCACTTATATCAAATGTCTTTCATTTAAAATCCATTTTATCTCAAATTAAGAATAAAAATAGATTTCACAAACTCTGAACTATCAGCATCCCCAGTCTACAGTAGCTCTCCCTCTGAGATGGGCTCTTTCCAAAGAGATACTTCATTTTTGTGTTTCACAGCTTACCCCACATCGCTATTTCTCAGCTCTGCTGGGTGTGGGATTTGTCATGCGTTTGATTCACTGACCCCTAACAGCAGGTGGAAAATTTGGACTTCTAAGTCCTCCTCTTCCCATTGGTGCTGCGCGGCTGTAAAGCGGTAGCTTATTGGCTGCAGGAATAGGAGGCCGATTGGTTTGAGAGGCTGTGACGCTGCAGCTAAATCCTTTATATGCCTGGCAAAGGGATTGTCTATCAATGAAGTAGTAAAAGGGGGAACATATGTGGCAGTGGAGAAGGAAAGGTTTTTAACCTTTGAGTTTGTTTTGGCTGGGTTCCCTTCTTTTATTTACTGACTTCCAGCGGAGACCAATACACAGAAGTGAAAATGAAGTTCATCATTGGCATTGGAGGGTAAGTTTCATTTAAAGTATTTACCTATTTGTCTAGCAATTACAGTTTGCAGAATCCTAGGGTGTGACATATCTGTGTGGCATGAAATCTTCATTTCAGAGTGACCAACGGTGGGAAGACCACTTTGACAAATAGACTACTAAAGACATTACCCAACTGTTGTGTGGTGCATCAGGATGACTTTTTCAAGGTAAAATAAATTAAAGTCCACTTTCTTTTGAGCTTTTTACATTTTAAATCAGTTTATGTTTAGTTTAAAGCTACAGTAACTATTGTCATGTATTAATGTTGATTAACTGTAAGTGTTATTTTTGATAAATTTGCTACGTAAAATTTGCCCTTGAGGTCATTTTGTGCTCAGATATTTCCTTCCAGTCTGACCTGCAGATGTCCTGTCATCTCTGTAGTAATACATCTGGCTGATTGTCTCCTGGACAGCCAATGAAAGGACTGAGCGTCCCCACTTAAAGTCAAACTTTGTCATTCTGCCACCAACTTTTGGTTAACTTCATTTGGCTTATAAGAAGCCAGAAGATTTTATCTCTACCACATCTTTTCGTGCTGCATTCACGAAAGGCTGAGTAGCCACTGAACACCAATTGTAAAATATAAGTGTTACATGATGTCCTTTCCCCCCGTCATTTATGTTTTACTGCCATAGCAATGCACTGAATGTGTCGCCTAGAGCCACACAACGGCAAAAAAATCGCAATTTCCAAATCGCGAGAGCGTTACCAGCATAGTAATAATGATTTTCTAATTATAAGTTAGGAAGAGAAACCTTTATCCTGTAAGGTATTACAACGGATATTTCACAAGCACAAAATTAACTTTTTTACCACAAACAAAAATGTCACCGTGCGCTACTTTTGGTGGAGACGAGTCCTTGACCTTTCCTGTCCAGGTGTGATCAGCTCTGACTGGTTACTAGGTTGCAGCAATGTTTTATTGGTGACTGTTATTTCAGAAACCCGATCAAATAGAAGTCGGGGAGGACGGCTTTAGACAGTGGGATGGTAAGAATGGATTTCACGTAGGAAAACCATGCAGTAATGTACTTTTTCTTTTCTGCACAATTCTTTAGTTTGGTAACCAATCAATCCTAAACTTTGTGATTTTCTATCGTCTATTCTGTGAATGCTACAGACATTCACTAACCGTGACTAATGTGTACTAAAGCACATTGGTGAGGAGTGTTTGTTGCATGTGTGGTGAAACCCACTCTCCTCTCTCCTCTCCCTGTTCTGTATCAGTGATCACCGCCCTGGACATGGAGGCTATGGTCAACACTGTGAAGGGCTGGCAGGAGAACCCCATCAAATTCGCCCGCTCCCACGGCGTCAGCCTGTCACCTGAAGCTGAGGAAGCAGACTCGGTGGATAAGGGGATCCATATTCTCATCGTGGAGGGGTTCCTCGTCTACAACTACAAGTGGGTCATCTTGCCATCTTTTTTACACAAGCTCTAAAATTGAACCTGCAGGCCTCTTGACCTCTAAAGCTTTTCACTTATCTGAGCTTCGGTTCCCCTCTGCAGGCCTCTTATTGACGTCTATGACAAATGTTTCTACATTTCCATTCCTTATGAGGAGTGCAAAAGGAGGAGAAGGTAACAAGCTCTTGGCGTGACTCTGACTTAAGTGTTAGACGAAATATTACAGGCTATAATATGACTTGATTTATTTTGTTTCTGCAGTACAAGGAATTACACAGTCCCTGACCCCCCTGACCTTTTCGATGGCCATGTCTGGCCAATGTACTTGAAACACAGGAAAGAGATGGAGAACAACTGTGACAGAATAGGTACGTTAAACCAAATCCTCACCTCTGAAACAAAATATCAAATCTCAACATCCCTAACGTCAAAATAAAAGCAAAGGATTCCTCAGTCCTCTTGAAAAATAAAGATTTAACTGTCAACTGTTGACATAAATGACTCTCGTTCATTTTTGACTTTTCTTTTTGGACAGAGTACCTTGATGGGATGACATCAAAGGAAGATATCTACAACAAAGTGCATGAAAGCATTCAGAACTCCCTGCTAAACAACTTATAGGTAAATAAAAGACATTTTCACTGATAGATCATTGAAAACTGTTTCGTTCAGTGTAAGTAAAGTCTCTCCCTTTTCTTTCTCTCTCTCTCTTTACAGCAAAACGGGGGCAATAACGGATTTGTGTATAGACTTGTAAATATAATTTTGCGTTAATGTGTAGTTCTGTACTTCTAGCCTGATTTGTAAATAGTTAATTCTGTAACTTATTGTATAATCCTCTGTAACTTTTTTCTAAAAGATAAGCCACCTCTGGACTGCCCAGTGTATAACATCAGGGACGGATCTCAACTCTGATCTTGTTGTATCTGAAAAGTATAAAATGCCCACTGGGAGGAAAGATTTGTGTCTCATAAATGAAACTACCGAATCCACTTTATGTTTCCTGTTTTTTTTACTCTCAAACTCATTTCAAAAACACCCATGTAGCCCCCATAAAGGTCCTGTTCGGAATCACAAACCTCACATTTTACAGCACAAATATTTATGCAAACTGAGGATGAGTGATAAAGCCCTGAGGCTCCTTATCACCCAGATTAGATTTAGAGCATCAATAAAAGTGGCCTGCAATCTGAATCTCAGAGTTTTCCTCTCAAAGACAATAGATTAACTAATGAAGAAGGGCAAATAATGTTGATTGGATTTAATCCGCACTTAACTTTCATTTTAAACATTTGTATACATAAATATCAAAAATAACATTTGAGCATCTATAACTTTGAAGAAAAAAAAACAGGAGCACTTTTTGTATTGTGTTGTCAAGACAGCCTGAGGAAAACAACTGTGCCAATACCAATTGGTGTGTTTTTATAATATATTTGCTGATATTTATTAAAGAATCTTTATTTTTAATCATCCAGTTCAGTGTCTGGAACTGGATTTTGAATGCAACACCCAACACAAGGATGAGGGCATATTTTCTCTTTAACATTAACTTTGATAATGATTATTGTTTTAGTGTTTTGATATATAAAAAAGGAAAAAAAAAACATGACCTAACATTAACATAAAGATAAGCTCTCTAGACATCCTCAATTTGTTTTGGTAGTCAGTGTAAGTTCAAATTCTTCTACAAGGGAAATGTATAACAACATCTTTTAGTGTTTATAAGAAGATCAGGCATCTCAGCACAGCATTCAAGTGTAATAATAATTGTGTTAAGAAATACTGATAAGGACCATTTATTAACATCCACCTCCAATGCACTAAATTAAACCGTGTTTTTCATCCCTGGTTGTTTGGCTGAAGACTTATTATGCTTCCCTGATGTGCCAACAACCCATCCAGTAACATGCAATAACCTTTCAATATTCTAGCCTGTAACTTTGCAAAAATAAAGGAGTAAAATCTCTGTCGAGCACTCAGTCGACTTTCTGTTTTTACATTTTATCCAAAAGATCAAATGTCCTTTCAGAAATCACCCACATCACTCTACCCTCAGCCAACACTGTCTGCACAGAAATTAAATGAAAAGCAGTAAATGTTCACTTTTATTGATATTTCAAATTGAAAAATCCAGTGAATTATGTGGTAACCTTGAGGGTTGTATTTCCTATAGGCAGTTGAGCATATGAAGCATGAATTTGGACCATAAAATAAATGACTTTTGCCTGACCGGCAGTGAAGACTTCAAAGGATTTATAGTCTGAGAATTTTACACTGTATCTTATCTGTAAGTCTTAAGGGTCACAGGTGTTTTCTGAATCTCTCCTTCTTCTTCTGATCATATAGATCGCCTCACAGTATACACTAGCCAGCGCTGTCCCAGGACCTGGCAGAGCCTCAGAGGGTGTGTTGGGGGGGGAGTTGGTTCAGGGTCTTGTGATGCGTTTCTGGGAATCTTTACATGCCAGCAGTTGGCCTGGAGCAAAGGGTGGCTGGTCTGCCAGTTTATATTTAGGCTAAGTGCCTGGGGTGTCAGGGGAATATATTTAACGAGCGCACAGACGATTACTGACCTACACACCCACTCTACGCTCCTGCGCCTGGTCTGACTCAGGGGCCGGTCCCCACGCTCCCACCACCATGGGGGTAAGGAGAGAACCTTGTGAGGTGGCATGTGTTACCACGTCACCCACTTCCATGACAACCACTGAAGTATTGCTGGAGCGTCCATATTTGGGTCGAAAGGCAGGGACACAGGAGCTGAGCGGCTGTCACATGCTGTGCAGACCCCCTGTATGAGTGAGTGAGGGCCCGCGAGGCATGTGAACAGTTGTGGGTATGCCACTGAATGAATGACAGGAATATTTATGGCTGCCTCGCTGTGCCTCTAAACATGTCAACAACTGAATTCATTTTTTGGTAGTTGACTTGAGCAGGATATGAATAATTTAAAAATGCTTGATAACACTATGATGTTGTTTTAAACAGATTTCAGTTCTTATTAATGCACAGAATGTATTTAAGATCTGACAGCTTCTTAGTTCTATAATCCCAACATTAATCCAATATCAGATATATTTGCTGGTTTTGTTGGTTGTTTTGTTTTTACCAGACCTGGCTTTGTGAATGTGGCAACAGTTCCTATAGGTGTTTGGCTTATGTTGTCTACTGTCTTTTAACAAACTACTAAAGTTACTTAAATTTCATGATATTTATAACCCTTTATAAAAAAATAAATATCACATATATTATGTATCAAAAACCACTGCCAGTTTTAAAAATTCTAATTGTAGTCCAGCATTTACTGATCTATGCTTTTATTAGGTCTGCTTTTTAAGACTGCAGATGTGTATGAGCCTTTTGGATACATATCACGTTTGCTTATCTTTGTTTGTTAGTTGCTTTTTTGTAACTGTGCAAATATTTGTTCTAGAAACTTTAGGGTTAAAAAAAACATTAATCCAAAAAGTATTAAAAAAAGAAGTAGCCGGCACTTACATCGTACAGTAAAGCTTAAGGCAAGACACTACTTTCATGCACTGGTCAATGTTGAGATGTTGGCCTATTTTGCCAAAAAACACATTTAGTTGTTTACTACAGTTTTGTGTCTGTAGATTTCTCCTGATTCACCAAATGTTAGCATTACTACAAAAGATAATTGTTTTGGTGTAAGTCATCAACTGGGGAGGTTTCATGGTGACATCCATTAGTTAAACTCTTTTCACCTGCAATGTCCGGGCCTTAAAGACCAAGATAACCCCTTAACATCAGAAGGTATTAATGTGTATGTTTGGGTCCACTGGTCCTTTAAAGAGAGTTTTTAATAGCTCACATATTAAGTGCTCTCAGCACTAATTTGTCACGTGTAGATCGACCAAATGTGAAGATAGATACAGCAGCATGTTGCTCATAGCTGAAATGTGAGGAGAGCTGATCGCGCTGATTCTGGCAAAGGTTAATCAACGATAAGCAAAGCATGTGTCACGAGAAACCTGACTATCTGCAGCCCTGCAGTTGTCAAATAACGTATAATTCATAATTTATAAGACATTTCTAGGTTAACTCAGGTCAGAATGTAAAATCATTCATCCGTTTTATTTAAAAACAGGAGGAACTAAAGATCCACATTATGGGAGAGTGTCCCACAACAGAGTGTAATCATTTTCATTTTCAAACATTTCTTCAGCATCTCACCTGCATTGTCTTCCCATGATCTGTGGTAAACCCTCTGGATCTATCATTTAGTTGTAAACTCCTCAGACTGGCAGTGTGAGGCCTCAGGGGAAGACAACAGGTATATTCCTTGTGGGGAAGTTTTCTTGTGGTAAAACCATTTTAAGACCATCATCTTCGTTAAATCTCACAAGAACCAAAGCTGTGAGCTGCCCTGGATACCTAGATTCATGGGATAAGATATATTCAAAGCGTAAAAGAATTAGTCTCTCACAGCTGCTGCTGCTGCTGCTGCTGTAGGTGTACCAAGAAAACAACCAGAAACTGTATATTTTATTTCCAAGCACTCCTAACTTACAGTAAATATTAGTTTTGGGTTTCAACATTTGTTGTGATTTGTTTACTTTCAGGTCAGACACACAAGAAAGACTCAATTCAACGTCAATACTTACTGGCTACATTTTGTGGGATACATGTCCTGCTCGGGAAGTCTTGTGCCAAACCAGTACTGAGGATCTGTGGCTCTTATAAATCTGGACTGCAGCAGAGAGCAGGGCGGGGCTAGACTATGGACCAGGGGAAGGTTTCTTTGACTAAGAATAGAAAAGCCCGCAGGCTGAACCATCCTGATGCCCTATTTGGCAGGTGACAAATACTCAGGGTCTGCATGACTCCTCTGTAGATCAGTGTGTCTCCAATCTTATTTGTGAGCCAAATAAAACAGCATAAGTTCCTTACCTGAAAAACAAAAAGATCATAGTGATGTTAATAACAGTCTTTAGTTATATGTGAAAACCACACTGAGCAACAGAGTTAAATTGGCAACAGGCTGCATATCACTGAGTTCAATGATTGGACTCTATGGCAGAATCTACTGTTGGAACGCAGCTTCAGTGGGACCCCTTCCTCTTTTAATACATCCATTGTCATGCCAGTACAAATAATTAAATAAACAAGTAAACACAATGAAACAGATGTTAATGTTGCTAATACGGCGGTATTAGTTCACTCTGTTAGGACTTGGCTTGGAAACCGGTGGGTCTCTGGATCGAGTCCAGCTCGAACCAATGCCAAAGCTGTCCCCTGAGCAAGGCCCTGAAGCCCAAACTGCTCCCCGGGCGCCGTATGATGGCAGCCCACTGCACCTAAATAGGATGGGTTAAATGCCCCTTCCCCTTCCCTTTGGGGCTGCAGTAGCTCAGTCTGTAAGGATTAGGCTGGGAACCGGTAGCCAGGTCGGATCCAGCTCGGACCAGAGCTGCAGAGCGTGGACTGGTAGCTGTAGAGGTGCCAGTCCATCTCCTGGGCACTGCCGAAGGTGGCCTTGAGCAAGCCCCTGAACCCCTAACTGCTCGTGGCAGCGCATTTTCATACTATGCACCCTGGGTATGGAATAATTTGAAAAATCTTAAATTAGAAACATGTATATCAACTGATAAATTTTAGAGCATCCTAAAAAATGTGGTGAAAGAGACATGTGGTTGTTTTTCTTGAGAGGCCATTGTGTTTGAATAGATGGGGGGGGGGGTTTTTTTGGGTGAATTTTGTCATGATTGTATGTAGCATTTTAATATGTCGTGTTTATGTATGACTGCTACCTTGGCCAAGTCTCGCTTGTAAAAGAGATTTTTGATCTCAATGAGACTTCCAGGTAAAATAAAATAAAATGAGCATCCTCAGTAATGTAACTAGATACATTTACTCAAGTACTTGGGTATTTACATACAGGGTCGCTGGAGCCAATCCCAGCTGACATCAGGCGAAAGGGCCACACATAGACAAACAACCACTAACACTCACATCCACACCTAAGGACAATTTGGGAGACACCAATTAACCTAGCCGGCATGTCTTTGGATGGTGGGAGGAAGCCGGAGCACCAGGTGAGAACACAGGACACAGAAAGGCCAGGACAACCGGGGTCTGAACCCATGACCTTCATGCTGTGAGGCAACAGTGCACCACCGTGCCACCGCAGAGTCAGGTTGTTAATGTAAAATACAAATCAAGTAATAATTTATATTGTTATAGATTATAGCATATAGCAGTAAAGTAGCTAAAATTAGTCTCACCTTTACCAACTTCCACATTAGTAATGCTTACACATTAATGCATCACTAATAATAATCCAGTAATATAATATTTATTTTTCTTAAATGAGCCATTTTGCATAATGAGTGCTTTTACTTTTGGTTTATTTTAATGTTAACACTTTTTACTAGATTTTTAAATGTAGGACATTTTCTACACTGTTGCATATCACTACCTTTACTAAAGTACAGAAATGTACCACCAACAAAAAAAGTAAATGTGAAGGTTTTCAAGATTTTGACAAATAGATTTAGGATTATAGCTGGAATGAGGTGAAGACATCAGTGGATAACAGAGCCAACAAATAGTCCATCCATCCATCGTCAACCGCTTATCCTGCGTACAGGGTCGCGGGGGGGCTGGAGCCAATCCCAGCTGGCATCGGGCGCAAGGCGGGGTACACCCTGGACAGGTCGCCAGTCCATCGCAGGGCCACACATAGACAAACAACCACTCACGCTCACACTCACACCTAAGCAGACACGGGGAGAACATGCAAACTCCACACAGAATGGCCCCCAACAAATAGTGAAACATTTAATAATGAAAATAAAGATGTATAACCTAAGATTAGTTTAGTTTATAAACTGAACATATAAGAACAGTAAAGTAGTTATGAATGCAACATACATGTGTACATTTAACTATTCATATTGTCAAAGGAAATAATTGTTTGCATTTATTGTTGAGTTTAAATTAAAACAGGGCTTGACTTTAGTAAACAGTCAAATTAAGAATGGCGTTGATAGTGTTCAAAACACAAAACAAACTCGGAACCTCATCGTTTTTCTTTATGGACCTGGACTTGCAGACTCTCTCAGCATGATACTGGGTGATTAAAAAAAGCAGCATTGGTGACATAGATGCAGCCTGCCCTCGTGCGGCACGTTCACTGCCGTACAAGGGAATGAAGCCAAGTAGTGCAGCCTATCCAAAGATGCACAACGTCAGTATTTCTGGTTAAAAGCTACCATCAGTTTATTAATGCTGATAAAATTACCACTTGAATGCCATACAAATAAACTAAATATTTCTATCATTCAGGTTTTCTAATGGCATTTAAATACAACAATTCTATTCAAAGAGTATATTTGTCATGCCTAGTTTATATTTTCAGCGGAAGACTGTTGTGAAAGTGAAATCAAACACGGAGTATTTTCAGCATTTCATTAGTTTTCTCCTCTATTGGGCCAACTGGTCCTTAAAAATAACCAGATTGAACGTCTACCATTTAAAAGACTTCTGTTCACACCCGTGCGTAAAGTTTACTAAGCAAACATCCATGCGGATGTCTTGTGTAACATAAGTTAACCGCGGCAGGGCATGGGTTAAATTTTCTTGCAGGAAAGTTTCACTTTCAAGTGAAGTAACTGGGCTGAATTCGATAAATGACCTGTGGGGGGGATCTCCAGCCCACCTCTCGTCTCCACTTGTCAGTCCTCCTGAGAACTGATATGTGGTTCTGTGTAAGAGCTGGAACTGAGAGCGCACTCCTGCTTTTCATCCACTTTCCACAAAGCAACATCTGGTGCGCAGTTCATCTCGTAGTCTGATTTATTATTGATTTACAAGAGGGATAGTTTTTTTTCTAGTTTTACTGCCATGGCAAAATGGTCGCTTTTATTCTTATACTTTTTCCAAGGACTATTTCCCCTCATCTTTGGGCAGCAGCAGCGCTCAGCTGGCCCCTGGCGGCACCGCATTCAGTGGGAGAACAACGGGCAGGTTTATAGTTTAATGAGCACTGGATTAGAGTACCAGGCCCCGGTTCGGTCTAGAAGCCAGTCGAGGGTTTATGTGAGTAGCAGGAGGGATGGCACCATGAACCAAATGCCGGGAGCGCACAGAGGAGCGACGCCTGTAAGACCCGAACAGGCTGAGTCCAGACAGTTCAGGACTGATCACGGTGTGGAGCCAGGATCAATTGCACCAGGACATGATATTAGACAGTATGCGCCTTTTATTAGTCGTGGTTCAGGGGGCAGGCGGCAGCCTGCGCGCCCGTACGGTGCAGGAGCTGCAGGTTATCCAGGCGCACGACGCTTTAACCCCGAACACACTAACACTATCAACGCCTCTGCACCGGGGAGTTTTACAGATTTACCACGTAGAAGAGGGGTTGTCAGTGTGGAGGCTACAGCACTGCACGCCAGAGAGCCAGGGCCCGGTGCGCAATACCAACAGTCACGCGCGGTGCCAGATGCGACGTCTGTCTCCAGGCAACCGACGCAGAGGGATCACTCTATCTCAGCATATCCCACAACTGTGGAAAGGGAATCTGAGGCTCCTGCTCCATTCCTTGTACCTCGTGAGGATGTTTCAAACGAGGCAGCCGGTAATGGAGAGGATATGGTTAACGACGACCCTCGAAATCCCTTTAAAAACCACAGGAATTCTGTTTTCTATAACACCTATCCCACAAGAGGGAGGTCAGTGGCTCGCATGCGCGTTCCTCCTGGCACAGGATATGGAACAAGATATTTCCAAAATGGTAAGTTAAGTGTCCCATTTAATATGGAATGAGTTTGGCCTTCTTAATTTGATTTTAATGATCTTAGACCAACGTGATGGTCCAGTGGGTGCATCAGTTTGCAATAAACCTGCTCAGACTAAATAACCCTTTATTACATAATAATTACATTTTAAATCAGCTGGTTTTATGAATAGTATAAAGCCAGTTTGCACAGCCTCAAACTGAATGACAAGAAGGGGCTTTGGATCCCAGGCTGACAGCTCAGGAATGTAAAACACTTTAAATTATGCCTACAAACACAAAAGCTGCTTTCATTTTCAGCCTGGATATCATCTATGCCAGTGAATTGTTCTCTGCACGAATAAACTGACAATACTAAATTATCAGAGTTAGAAAAATAGCCTAGATATTAACTTTAATCTCCTCTCCCAGGACTGCCAGACCTTGTGCCAGACCCATATGCCATCCAAGCAGGTGCCTACATCCAGCGCATGCAGATGTATGCGCTCCGCTGTGCAGCTGAGGAGAACTGTCTAGCCAGGTAATCTGTGGTGCCAAAAGAAGTGGTGATTCACTTCTTCAGTACGCAGACACTGAAGCAGACACACACACACACACACATACATACCTACACTGTTTTTACTGCTCACTGACGGTTAATTTCACTTGTTTTAGCACAACTTTTGGTTGCTTTAGGATAACTTTCAATTATATCTGTACAACTTTTCAATCTGGCAGGATAACTGTTGTGTTGATAGAGTTACAAAAACTGTTTGATCTTATTATGGAGCAATGGTTCTCCAACATGATGTCCTGCCAAGACATAAATGTTCTGGGTTGGTTTTCCCAAAAGCATAAAGCACAATGGAACAAACCCTTTGCACTCCCGTACTTATAAGAAAACTAGCCCCGGGAGCTCAGCCAATAGCACTTTCCAACGCAGCTCATGCCCATTTCCCCTGTGACCCATCCAAGGTCGGCTTATGGACCCGCCGTGAGAGACATCGACTTCAGAGTACTGCTGCGGTTCCCCCAGAAA